TTTGAGATGGGGTCTCACTATGCTGCCCAGGCTGGTCTCAAATTCCTGGACTCCAGTGATCTTCCTGCCTCAGCCTCCCAAAGTGCTGGGATTACAGGCATCATCCACTGTGCCCAGGCTGGTTTTTAAAACTAACAAAATTGGAGGGATAAGTTCATATCTTTTGGCTCTTTAATTCCACAGGTAGGAATTTATCCCAAAGAAATGATATGAACAAAGATTTAGCTGTAAGGATGCTTATCACAGAAGTTATTTTCTGGCCAGACAAAGTGGCTCACGCCTGTATCCTAGCACTTTGGGAGGCCAGGACGGGTGGATCACATGAGGTCATGAGTTCAAGACCATCCTGGCCAACATGGTGAAACCCCATCTCTACTAAAAATATGAAAATTAGGACAGGCATGGTGGCCTGTAATCCTAGCACTTCGGGAGGCCAAGGCAGGTGGATCATGAGGTCAGGAGTTGGAGACCAGCCTGGCCAACATAGTGAAACCCCATCTCTACTAAAAATTAGCTGGATGTGGTGGATGGTGTCTGTAGTCCCAGCTACTCAGGAGGCTGAGGCAGGAGAATCGCTTGAACTTGGGAGACGGAGGTTGCAGTGAGCCAGGATCGCGCCACTGCACTCCAATCTGAGTGACAGTGTGAGACTCCATTTCAAAAAAAAGAAAAAAAAGGCCAGTAGTGGTAGTTCACACCTGTAATCCCAGCACTTTGGGAGGCCGAAGCAGGTAGATCACGAGGTCAGGAGTTTGAGACCAGCCTGACCAACATGGTGAAACCCCGTCTCTACTAAAAATACAAAAATTAGACGTGTGTGGTGGTGGGCGCCTGTAATCCCAGCTACTCAGGAGGCTGAGGCAGGAGAATATGTTGAACCCGGAGGCAGAGGTTACAATGAGTTGAGATCGCACCATTGCCCTCCAGCCTGGGCAACAGAGCAAGCCTCTGTCTTAAAAATAGCAATAGTTAAAAATAAAAATTAACTGGATGTGGTGGCACACCTGTAATCCCAGCTACTCTTGAGGCTGAGGCAGGAGAATCGCTGGAACCCAGGAGGCAGACATTGCAGTGAGCAGAGATTGCACCACTGCACTACAACCTGGGCAGCAGAGTGAGACTCCGTCTCCAAAAAAAAAAAGAGAAAAAGATAGGTAATACATAGACATGTTACAAAGGAAAAAAAAAAGCAGTGGTTCAAAAGAGCGGAGTGAAAAGCCTCCTCCCACCCCTGGCAGTCCCCATCGCTCAAGTTCCTTTCCCCAGCGGTACCATCTCAGACATCCATCAGAGACCTCTGTGCTCATCTGAGCATATGTGTGTATATTAATACCCCTTCTTAAAACACAAATAGCCTCCGCGCTGCTGTGCACCTTGCTTTTTTGGTACCAGTATATTTAAGATCGCATTCCACGGCTGTGCTGCAATTACCCAGTCCCTGCAGCAGCAGGACGGGGTTGTGGGACGTCTCCACGCATCTTACACGCCTGAGCTCCCACCCCACCTAGGAGGATACCTGTAGGGAAAATTCCTTTTAGAGAAACAGCTGCATCAAAGGAAAAGTAGCGCTGTTACTAGCTCCGCCTTAGAATACCCGAAATCGTCAGTGGTAAGGAAATAGACAGATACAGTTAGAGATACAGAGCCATATCCGTAGGATAAAATACTGCACGTTTATTAAAATTCATGTTGCAGAACATGTAACGCGGACAGGCTTCTACAACTGGTGAAAAGGAAGCGTGCAGTAAGAATCTAGCCATGTGAAAGGCTATCCGTGCATATGCACCCAGCGCACGTTACGGAGTAGAAAGAACTTGTCTGGGGAGGGATTCAGGAGGTATTTATAGTGTCATTTCTGTACTTTCCCATTTTTCTACATTACTGTTGTATTAAGAGGGGAAAAGGCAGACCGCCCTCGGTTGTCCAGGACAGAACTGCGCTGGGAGGCGGGGTGGGCCCGCAGCCCGTCTTAACTGAAAGCTGTCAGCAGTCCCTGCCACAGCGGGACCCTGAAGGGCGCACCCACTCGGGACCCTGCGCTCGGTCCTCACTCCCAACGCCCCTAGAGGGCAGTGACCGGCGGGAGCTGGGTGCCTTGGCCTCCGCACCCCTTGTCCGGCTAGGCCCGGAGGTGGGAGTGAAAGGGAGGCCATTCTGCCGGCTGCCCCCAGGAGGGCGCTGCGAGGGCCGCGGTGCGCTCCCGGCTCGGGGGTGCCCGAACACTGAGTCCGGCGCAGGCGACACCTGCAGTGCCCACGGACCACAGGGGGTGACCTCTGAGGCCGCCAGGGATCCCGGCTCCCGCGCCTCCGCCCTCCCACCACAGGGTGGGGACTCGCCGCGGTCCCTCCCCAGCCCTTACCTGTACGACGTGGTCGCTGCTGCAGCCGCGTCCGCATCTCCAACAGGCAGCACGTAGACCCCGCGGGCGCCGGGCGCACGGGGCGCGGAGGACTTGTCCCTGCGGCCGCCCGTCCCCGGCCCGCGCCCCGGCGGCGCATCCCTGGGCCCGGCGGGCGCCGTCCACACGCCGAAGTCACGCTGGTACTGAGTGAGCGGCACGTCCCGGCCGCGGTCCCGGGCGCCCGCGGGAGGCTGGACCCTGCGCGACGCGGCGCCGCCCGGGCCCGGCTCCTCGCCGTCCAGGTCCGAGTAGCCGTGCAGGGTCAGCGGCACCGCCACGTCGGAGCGGTCCAGCTGGTTCCAGCGCCGCGCCAGGCAGCACAGGCGGCTGATGCAGGGCCACGCCATGCCAGCCCCGGCGCCCGCCGCCCTGCTCCCCGCGCGCGCGGCGCTCCCGGCCGCGCCTCCCCGCCCGGTGTCCCCGCCCCCGCGGCCCGCCCTGCGCCGCCGCAGCGCCGTCCCCCAGCCCGAGGGTGGCGTCCCGGGAGGGGGCGCACTCGGCAGCAGCCCCAGCTGGAGCTGGACGGGGCGGGGCCGGGGGGAAACGCTACGCCGTCTCCAGGGGGCACTGGAAGCCGCCTGCAGTCATTTACGAGGGTCCAACTTGAAGAATGCTCAGAATTGAATCCAAAGGCCCCTCAATGTCGTCTTACAAACGGCCCTTTGCATTTGTGCCAGGCTGCACCGCAGGGACTCCGCGGGCACAGGGGCAGGTGCAGCACTGAGGGTGTCAGGGAAGACGCGGGGCCCTTCTGCACGGAGAACACGGGTTTCAGTCCGCCTGACAGTCGCCGCCTATCTGCCTTTACAGTGCGAGTCTACATCTGTGACAAGCAATCCACTTTTCATTAGAATTGGCATTAGCCACCAATCGACCTTTCCCTGGGTTCTGAAATTCCTAAATTTAAAGCATGGCCATTTGCAAAGGCGTTAGTTTTAGAAAGCAGCCACAGAACTGGCTACTAAGCTATCGAGTTCCTTTCCTCCTGCGCCCACATGGCTGTTTCCAGGCCGAGCCGCTGAGGGATCCCCCAGGGAAAAGGCAGGTCTGTTCAATGCACGACACGGTCTCAGACAACCCCCTGGGCACCCACAAGCGCCTTTCTGAATATCTGACACATGCCCTCAGTATACACTGCAGACCAATTACTAATGGCACTACTGAGACAGTATTAATTACCCAGAGCTCCATTTCAAGGTTGGACTTGGAAGGCATCCAGTCTGTGCCTGGCAGAGGACTGCGCAACAGCCCTGGCCAGTCAGAAAAGATTCATCTCCCAAAACATTGCCTGTCTTAGCTTGAAGTTGTAGCAGAGTGACAGGACGGCTGGCCTGAAGTGGCAGCAGGCGTGGCACCAGGAGTAGGGGACACCGGGGTCAGAGTGAACTGCCTTGGGGGGAGTGTGCGCTGCGGCCCTGGGTTAGCCCTGGCAGATGACGCTTGTGACTGAAGTTCTCCATCTCGGAGGAGAGAACAGCTTTCTCATTACTTCACTGATCAAACAACCATCAAAGAGCACTTACTATGTGCCAGGAATAATTCCAGGTACCTTCACGTGGTTTAGTGTGATGGTCACAGATGGAAGTAAGTGTAATTGAACTGACAAAGCCAGGTCAGTATGAGAGGGAGGAGGGCTGCGGAAGGCCGGACTTGCCACCTGTCGGGAGGGTGGTTGGACCTGGTGGGAATGTAGGTCGCAAGGGAGGAGGGTTCAGCGGGGGTAGCAGAGACCAGACCATGGGGGGGTCTTGGTGGCCACGCTAAGGAATTTTAGTTTTTCATATGTCTGGGGCGCAGGTGGCTCATGCCTACAATCCCAGCACTTTGGGAGGTCAAGGCAGGAGGACTGCTTCAGCCCAGGAGTTTGAGATCTGTCTGTGCAACACAGTGAGACCCCGTCTCTGCAAAACCTTTAAAAAATTCGCCAGGTGCGGTAGTGTGTGCCGGCAGTCCCAGTTACTTGGGAGACTGAGGCAGGAGCATCACTTGAGCCCAGGAGTTCAAGGCTACAGTGAGCTATGATTGCACCATTGCACTCCAGCCTGGACAAGAGAGAGAGACCCTGTCTCCAATAAAAGCTTTTCACAAGTGACCACAAAGGAATGACAGAGGTGTTTTCAACACTCTGGCAGCCATATGGAGCAGCGCAGGGACGCGGTGGGGACCAGCTGGAGGAGCAGGCTCAACAGTCCGGGGACTGAGGGGTGGGGACCACGCAGAGGCACAGGCACTGGGAGAGCTGCGGGCTGGAGTCCGGAAACAAGTGTCAGGCGTCACTCCTTAGGCCGAGTGCTATGTGAGGGGCCTGTGCAGGGTGGGGGTGGCCCCAGTGCCTGGAAGCATGCCCGTGCTGCAGTAGACACATTTAGTAACAGTACGGAGAGTCTGTGGCTCCTGAACTCAGAAGCCTCAGATAACTGAGGCCAGAGTGAGCGCCCGTTGAAGCGTGTGCATTTGGAATAAGGGGACAGCGGCCACGGCACATTCCTAGGCGCCCGCACTTCAGATGCCGGTGGAGGCGGCACAGCCTGAGACGCCCACAGGCCGGAGGGCACGACCCTGAAGGCAGGGATCGAGGGTCCCCAGAGAAGCCGAGAAGAGAAAGGGAGGCATCCTCGTGGGCAGTGAGGAGCGGGGCTGTGGACAGCAAGGCTTTCTGGCCACTACAGAGGCTCCGGCATCCAGGGCTTTTATGGACCAGGAGGTGCTACGGGGATGACTTCTTCCCGGTCACAAAGCAGGGACAGAGAGATGTCTCCATTGCCTCTTTGCCTGGTCTGCCCAAAGCATGATGTGAATTAGTGTTGGACTCAAGGGAATATCCCTGAGAACTCAGCCTCCTAGCCCATCTCTGGAGATCGCATCTTGCCTCATCTATGTCGCAGTGTTGTTAGCAGATGTCAGAGCAAAGCACTGTGACCTTGGCCAGTGACCCTACACCACGTGTGCCCTGTTTCCTCACTGGCGAAATGATGGCTGGGTTAAGAGAATTCTCTCCCAAGAAGTGACAGTTTAGAACAGAACCCGGTGCCTGGAAAGAGTCACTGGTCCCTCACAGCAGAAACAAGTCCGCCACGTGAGGCTGACGCCGGAGCCTCCACTCCTCCCAGGACAAACGTGCAAGACTTGGTATAACACTCCGAGGCCATCAAAAGACTGAAAATTCTCCTATAAATCACTCCAAGAGCAAACTCTCAAACCACGTTCCCTGGACGTACTTCTCAGTCACAAGGGTAACTAACATGAATTCCACGCAGCACGGCTGTGACGACACTACCTGCTATTTCAGTAAGACGCTTCACTTAGAACACACACTTTCAAACAGAAGATAAAATTCGGCTCAGATTCAAGTCGAATTTATCCAAATCACTCCTTCTACCTCTTAATTTATCTACAAATTTAACCTAGAAAGCAGAACCTGAAAATAGCCTTCTGTATGTGCCACTCACTGCCAGAAAACACTCCCATTCCTGAAAAAATTTAGGAAATACCGCAGCTGTGATTTCAGGCCATGCCAGGGAGGAGATCCTCTTGACTCTTAGGTGCAGCCAGCCCAGGGAAGGGGTAGGTAAGGAAGCGTGAGCGCTGGGCAGAGCGCTGGAGGCTCAACAGACAAGCCGCAGCACCCTCCTGCTTGATCATGCCTTTCAGCGTGTGCTCCCCAGGTCCTGGCTCACAGGATGTCCATGCAACAACCGAAGCAAGATGCCAGAGCCGTGTCGGCCCCTTAAAGAGAGAACACACACATCTGCTTACAAACTGGACAGAAGCCTTTATTCACAACTTTTCATAATTCACTTTCTAAGAAGACAGACCGTGGGACACAGCGAAAACCCCCGGGGGCCGATGCCAGCGTCTTCCAGGCGGGAGCAGAGCCATGCTCACTCGAGGGCCGATGTCTCCGGGGGCTCTCGGGCAGCACGACCAGACGCACCACTACTGTCCAATCCAGTTTTACTTAGAGCCACCTCCTTTTTTGGGGCCATCAGTCCTTATTTCATGCCAGATTTTCACTAGAGGCTCCCTGTTCTTCCAAATCAGTTCATGACCATAAGTAACATACCATCTGGAGAAAAGAAAAACAGCCAGGTCCCACATTCAAACAGCGTGACACACAAATGGCAAGTAGTATGGAGATAGATCGGTTGACAGTTTTGAAACCGAACGCCACTCACTGTGCAGCCTATTCAAACTGATTCACGTAGAGAAACGATCTGGCTTTAGCATTAGAATACGTCAAAGGCAGAAGCAGGATGTGGCGGTGGCTGCATGCTCTGCATGTAAGATCTCACACATACTGCTTTTCATTCACCATTACCTGCAAGTTAAGTCTCACTTCTCCCGTTGCAGACATGAGGCAATCAGGCCTGAAAGAAAGCAGTTTGTCCAAGGTGCTAATAGTTTCTAGGTGGTCAGTCAAGGCTCACTCGCAGGTCAGACTAACTCGGTGTCGGACGCATGAGAATCAGCCCTGAGGATGGCTAGCGCAGCTTACAGGCCTGCTGTCACCTTCCTCCTGGCTACACGAAGGGTGGGCTGCTCAACCAAACTGCGCCCCGCTTTGAGATCCACAGTTCCGATCCCCTCTCTCTTGTTCGCAGCAGCCTAACTGCGGCCTGAAGCAGGAGCCTGAGAACTTCGCTTGCTCAGGCTCCACCTAGGAACCAGCAGAGACTAGAGGCCAGCTCTGAAGCCTGCGCCGCGGGCCCTGGACTACGCGGCCGCATGCAGGGAGCGGGGAGCGCCTCCTGTGAGCTGAGCAGCACAGTGGGCACTGAGGAGGGCCTGCCTTGGAGAAGCTCCTGGGGGATCTGGGGGTGTAGGAAGGCTTCCTGGAGGATGTGGGGTGGATTCCCAGTGAAAGCGTGTTACTGACACCTTTGTTTTCATTCTGGCTTCCCTGAGGCAGAGACCAGATCTTGTCGCCTTGCATGTATCTCCCAGACACCCGACTGAAAAAATACTGTTTGACTTAGAGTGGATCAAGATAGCAGTTTAAGGTTTTAATATTTTTTAAAATGTTCTGAATGTGTATGTTTTATTATAAAGGGCTTGATTTGTACCTGAATCTTAATATTCACTATAGTAAAAATCTGATTATATACATTAATTAATAGGCATGTAATAAAATTCTCTGTGATAAAAGTAACAGTCTGGTGAATTTAGAACAAGAGAAAAAGGAGTACCCCAATATTCAAATGCAATTGTAAAAAATTATCCCAAAAAAACACTTTGTTAGGAACTCTTCTTCCCAAATCTTTTTTTTTTTTTTTTTTTTGGTGAGGCAGTCTCGCTCTGTCGCCCAGGCTGGAGTGCAGTGGCATGATCTAGTCTCACTGCAACCTCCGCCCCCAGGGTTCAAGCGATTCTCCTGCCTCAGCTTCCCGAGTGGCTGGGATTACAGGCATGCACAACCACACCTAGCTAATTTTTGAATTTTTAATACAGACAGGGTTTCACCATGTTGGTCAGGCTGGTCTCAAACAGCTGACCTCAGGTGATCTGCCTGCCTCGGCCTCCCAAAGTGCCAGGATTACAGGCGTGAGCCACCACACCCAGCCACTCAAATCTCTTTAATCTACTTATTTCAAGCAAAGAGTCAAATACTTTAATTTTACAGGTATACTGTTCTGATTATACTCATAAATCCAAATGGAATTTTTCATGGGCTAAACTAAAATCAGCAAATGCAGAGGGAGTGATTTCTAGGGCACTCCTCTGCAGCAGCGGCGCAAACCACTGCTCATCTCACACTGCAGCTCTGCGGTTCTTACTTGTGTGACCTGGATAAGTTACTTTCTTTAAGCAGTTTCTTTTTCTGTAAAATAAAATACCTCACAGGGTTTTAAGAGAATTAAATCTGTAGCTTAGGCACACAGCAAATATTCAGCATATTAATAAGTCAGCTGTTATCCCTACAGCACAGTGTGAAGACTGTGAGGTATGGTGAGAGACGAAGTCAGGGCAATGTGTAAGCAGATACTAATGCAGTCTTTCCCCCTCCCCCCCCAAGATGGGGTTTCACCGTGATGGCCAGGCTGGTCTTGAACTCCTGACCTCAGGTGATCCACCCACCTCGGCCTCCCAAAGTGCTAGGATTACAGGTGTGAGCCACCGCGCCCAGCCAGTAATGCAGTCTTTACCACCAACAAAATCGGGGCACTTAAAAAAAGAAAGATTTTAGAGTTCTAAATCTAGACTAAAACTTTCAGAAAAGACGAATTCTGGACATGACTAAGATCTAGTAAATGAAAAGGAGTTTAAATTAGAAACAGTCAAGAGAAAGGATTCCTCTGCCTTTCAGACCCTGGACTTTAAAACACATTTGATCCAATTATTTTCAGAATGGAAAAAGGCCATCTAATTATAGTTCAGAAGAATAAAAATCTGCTGGGGAGAAGACCCTTGATTACACACAAAGGCTCCCGATAAATTAGAGCTCACAGGACAGAGCCCCTTCACGTCCCTCACGCTGCAGCATCGGGTCAGTTTCCACCGTTTATACTGCACCGCTGCGTACACTATGCACTACCCCTCCTTAATCACTGAAAATTCTAAATGGCATAATGGCATTTAGTTCTACCATCTGCTGGGAAAAACTGCTTCACTTAGATTTTTCTTTTCAATAAAAAAAAAATTTAAGTCTTCCATTGTCACAGAACAAAATAAAAACCAAGTCAGGGCAAAAGGCAAGATTTATGCAAGAGAAGTCAGGCCCTGAGGGAATCCAGCTCAACAGACAGGCAGCTCCCGCTGAAGGGCCTCCCGCGGTCAGACGGACGCCAAGGGTCCTGACTGTGTGTCCACGACAGAGTTGCTACTAACTGCTAGTCAGGGCAAAACCCCCTGTCCAAAGCACACCTGGAAGCTCCTGTAACCACAACGCCATCGGGTATTCAGTATGCTGTGACGGGGTGGAGAGGGCTCACAGAGGCAGGTTTACAACTCTCCCCTGCTAAGTAAGAGCTGTTTGTCCCAGGAAGATCATGTCTAAGCCTCAGTTTCCCATCAGTAGAATGGAAGGAGTAATAGTCTAACAGAAGGTAACTAGCTTGCTGTCTGCATACAGCAGGTGCTCAGTAAGTGGTCCACACTGGTCTGCGGTCACTGGCCTGTGCTCCAGTCATGCAGAGTAACGGCTCTGCCAGCTCAGCGTGTCTGCACGGCTCCGGCGAGACCAAGGTCAGCGGTAGCAGCATGGGACACCGGGCGGGGAGAGGAGGGCAAGAAAGTCAAAGGGGAAAAGGGGGTGACAGCGCAGATGGGGGGCCAGGCAGCAGTCTGTTAAGAGGGGGTGGGAAGGAGAACAGGCCAGGGGTTGGGGTAACGTAAGGTTAAGGGTAGGAGAAAGGCACAGACTGTCTACAAATGAGCCAGGTAGGCTGGGTAAGCCCAAAGCAAGCCATGTGGAGGCTCCCCCCCACCAACCCCACCTGCTGCTGCTGCTTCCGTCACAAAGCTGGATGCCTCACTCTGCCCTGGGGATGGGGGTCAGAGGAGGGCGTGACCCAAGGAAGCAGTTTAGCAATCAATTACGGTCAAACTTACATTCCAAAAAGAGCTCCTCCAAGATGTGCCGCATGATCAAAAACTTTCCATCCCAGGATCAATCCTGCTGTATCCATGGCGATAATGGCTTTTAGGGCCTGAAAGCCACCAAGAAAGAAGGGAAGTGGTCCAAGTGTGATTCCTCCAGTACTGACATCTTTAACTTAAGGGCAAGAACCCAGTCAACAGAAAAATACCACCACTATCCCCAGAACTTCACTTCACAAAAATACTTACATTCCCTGCTGTGAATGTGAGAATCGGAAAGAAAATAATGGCCAGCCTCCCTTCCGGCATCTTCGTGCAGACAGCTGCGAGGACCGTCATGATGGCACCGGACTGCGAAGGAACACAGCAGGGAGAATGGGAAACTCCAGACGCAACTGCTTAGTGGCTACAAGGTCTAAAGAGCAGCGCATTTTCTAGAAAGTTTATATGTTGCACATTTCTAGGTGAGCACAGGCTTAAGAGCTTTCAGTTACTAATGTTCCCAGTATCGGGCGAAGGGACTAAATGTTCTTCAGACAATAATGGCTTAGAAAGACTGAATTTTTGTGACGGGGCGGTGAGATGGATGACCACCAGCATGCGAGCGCTTCCTGAACCGCAAGGACGGCACTAAGCGTGTCATGTGCAGCCCTGCACCTAAGGCCTAGGAAAGAACTCAAATTTCTCTGACAAAGCTCCCCAACCAGAGGGGGTGAGCATGAATCCACCCAAAGAAACCCGCACGTGTGAAGTATGTTTCATCTTAAAAACTTCATGTGAAATCTTTATTACTCTTCATAGAGAAATGAAACACTGCCCAGCGTGGTGGCTCACGCCTGTAATTCCAGCACACTGGGAGGCAGGAGGATCCCTTGAGCCCAGGAGGTCAAGGTTACAGTGAGCTATGACTGCACCACTGCACTCCTGCCTGGCCAACAGAGTGAGACCCTGCCTCAAAAATAATAAAAATAAAGGAATAAATTGATATACAGAACATGGATGAGTCTCAAAATAATTATATAGAGTAAATGAGGCCAGGACAACAAAAAGGAGCACACGCTGTATGATTCCATTTGCAAACTGATTTACATTTACTGGAAGTAGGTAAGCTGTTGCCAGGGGAAGGGGCAGCACGGAACGGCCACACAGGAGCGCTGGGAAGCTTTTGGGGCTGAACATGTTCATGATCTTGAGTTTGTGGTGACAGTTTCATGGGTATCTACATCTTAAAGCTTACAAATTATAACTTTAAATATGTGCAGTTTTTGGCATGTTAAGTAGTAAACCTGAGTTACCTGCTTTTTTTAAAAAAGAAAAAGACTATATGGGCTGGGCGTGGTGGCTCAGCCTATAATCCCAGCACTTTGGGAGGCCAAGAGTTTGACAGCAGCCTGACCAACGTGGTAAAACCCCATTCTCTACGAAAAATACAAACAACAAAAAAAAAATTAGCCAGGCGAGGTGGCTCACGCCTGTAATCCTAGCATGTTGGGAGGCTGAAGCGGGTGGATCACCTGAGGTCAGGCCTTTGGGACTAGCCTGGCCAACGTGGTGAAACCCCATCTCTACTAAAAATACAAAAATAAGCTGGGCGTGGTGGCGTGTGCCTGTAGTCCCAGATACCTGGGAGGCTGAGGTTGCAGTGAGCTGAGATTGCACTACTGTATTCCAGCTAGGGCAACAGAGTGAGAGAAAAAAAAAAAAAAAAAAAAAAAAAAAAAACTCCAAAACAAACCAAAATTACACTTTTCCCCAAAATGATGCAAATATAATTTGAATAGCTGTATGAAGAGCATCAAAATTCGATGAAGTTCCTCTAAATTACTTTTCTATAGATGATTATTCTCCATCTGTTAAGGAAAACTGTCATCTGTACAATTCTAGCACTGGTTTGTGATTATAACTTACTGTAATTATTGCACATTAAAGATAAAGCAGTTCCATCATCCTCCCAGAATTTCCTCAATGTGACTTTATATAAATGTAAACATTTATATGTTTGAATAAATCCCAACTTCTTTTTTGATAAAAGTCTAGGCTTACTCCAATGCAGAAAGGTTTTTTTCCCTTTTTCTAGTCAGAAGTTTTTAAGAATTGAGTGAAAATGAACCCTTCTGTTCTCGGAGAACTTTCACATTCATACATAGTGTACGTACTGACTCATGAACTCTGATCAAGGAGACCTAAGGGGTTTGGATCCATGGTAAGAGGTGAAGGTCTTCTGTTCCCCATCAATGTTTCTATGTACACTGGTTATATACTTGTCATCAATATACACATCTGGATTTTACTTATTTCATGAACATATATATATTTTTTGACACAGAGTCTCGCTGTTGCCCAAACTGGAGTGCGGTGGTGATCTCACTGCAACCTCCACCTCCTAGCTTCAAGTTTTTCTCCTACCTCAGCCTGCCGAGTAACTGGGATTACAGGTACACACCACCATGACTGGCTAATTTTTGCATTTTTAGGAGAGACAGGGTTTCACTAAGTTGGCTAAGCTGGTTTCAAACTCCTGGCCTCAAGTGATCCGCCCACCTCGGCCTCCCAAAGTGCTGGGATCACAGTAATGAGCCACCGCACCCGGCCTCATAAACATTTTTCTGCATCTGTATAATCTTCATCTCTCTCATACTTACAGTTTTTAACTTTTTTGGTATTCTAATTTAAGTGAATCTGCTCCCTCTGCTTACAAAAGCTAAGTAGAGATGAAGACCCTGGTGTTACCTATGAAACAAATGTAAGAGAACTCTGAGAGGGAGAGGAAAGCTGACCAGCCAGGAAGCCTGAGACTCAATGGAAGTGGTGGTGAGTTCCCTGCCCGAGACTCAGTGCAAGTGCTGGTGAGTTCCCTGCCCGAGACTCAGTGCAAGTGCTGGTGAGTTCCCCGAGCTCTATTTTGGCCTCATACTGATCATCCCCCAACATGTTCTCTCTAGTCAAGGCACAAAAGAGGATAGCCAAGCACAAACAGAGAACTGTTGGACAATATTTAGAGAAACAGTGGCCCAGCAAAGGCTGAGCAGGCCTAGACGTCCACCCTTGCCAGAATGTAATGAGGCATCCCAATACGCCTCACAGGGTGGTGTCCATGGAAAGCACCCTTGCTCCTCCTAGCCACAGCAACATTAGCAGAGGTCTACCAGGTGGCCTGTACGCCGAGCTCCCATCCCTGCCCTGCAGTAATAAGAGCCCCTCTCCCTCAAGAGGCAAAGGCGGCTGCGGGAGGAACCTGGACATCTACTCCTACCCAGCAGTAGCCACCCCTCTCCTCATCAGAACAGTGGCAGAGGAAGACTACTCAAACAGCAGATCGCAATAGGATCCAAAGTTTCATCATACCCCAAGTGAGCAGGCTTCAACTGAAAGATCTCAACTTGAATAAGAAAAGACAGCTGGCTGGGTGCAGTGGCTCACACCAGTAACCCCAACACTTTGGGAGTCCCAGGCAGGAGGGTCACTTGAGCCCACGAGTTTGAGCCCAACCTTGGCAACATAGGGAGACCCTGACTCTACAGAAAAGCTTAATAATTATCCAGGATAGTAGCAATACAGTAATTTACAGACATATTTTTAAAGTCCCATTCAACTTTTTTTTTTGAGATAGGGTCTCACTATGTTGGAGCACAGCGGCGTGCTCATGGCTCACAGCAGCCTCAGCTGCCTGGACTCAAGCACCCTCCTACCTCAGTCTCCGGCAGGTGGGGTTACAAGTGCATGCCACCATGCTGGCTAACTGTGAGATGGGGTCTCACTATGTTGCCCAGGCTGGTCTCAAACCTCCTGGGCTCCAGTGATCCTCCTGCCTTGGCTCCCCAAGTGTGGGGACTACAGGCGAGGGCCACTGTGCCTGGCTGCCCCTCATTTTATAACGTCTCACTACACTGAGGACTAACACTTTACATTTTGCAGCAACACAATTTGGTCGACAGTGGTTTTTTTCCAGATTTCTCATTAAAATTTTGATTTCCTTTAATTTTAATCAAAGCTGCATGAAGATATTTGGGCGAATTTTATCCTCCCATGGCTCTGGAGGATTTTGATGACAACAGGAAACACCACATCCAGAGTTCTTGCTATGTGCTTTTTATGGTGCTAAGCATCCTAAGTGTACTTGCTTTGCACATCAGAAATACACATTGTTATCCCCATTTTCTATGAGGAAACCGAGGTTCAGAGTTTCCTAGAAATATGTAACATGTCTTAGAAATCACAGGTAAGCAGCAGAACCAGGGTTCACCCGCACTCTAATTCCAAATACCATGCTGGCAGACGTTATTAATTTTGCAATTCAGCTTCTTATCTGTAAAATGAGGACCACAGTTGTCTCCGAGCACCTCAGAATGCCCTCGCAGATCCTTTCAGCTGAAGAGAAAGGCCTCTTCACCCTCGGATGCCCCAAGTCCTCCAGAGAATCTTCATTCCTTTCAGTGTGTATTAGGTGTGTATGTTTTCTCCCCAGCTAAACTTGAATTCTGAGTCTATGATTCACGCTAGTGGTCTTCACTCCCTTCATGTATTAGGTGCTTAGCTGCCGAATGAACTATTGAATGAGAGAATATGATTTGAAATATATAAATCATACCAGAGCAAACTTTTTTTTTCCTGAGGCAGAGTCTTGCTTTGTCACCCAGGATGGAGTGCAATGGCGTGATCTCAGCTCACTGCAACCTCTGCTTCCTAGGTTCAAGCGATTCTCCTGCTTCACCCTCCTGATTCACTGGACTTACAGGTGCCCACCACCTCACCCGGCGAATTTTCGTATTTTTAGTAGAGAGGGGGTTTCACCATGTTGGGGTCAGGCTGATCTCGAACTCCTGACCTCGTGATCCACCCACCTCGGCCTCCCAAAGTGCTGCGATTACAGGCATGAGCCACCAGCCCCAGCGAGCAAAATTTTATAAAGAAAATAAACATTCAAAGCCGGGTGCGGTGGCTCACGCCTGTAATCCTAGCACTTTCGGAGGCTGAGGTAGGTGGATCACCTGAGGTCAGGAGTTCAAAACCAGCCTTGGCCAACATGGTGAAACCCCATCTTTAAAAAAAATAAAATAAATTTTAAAAATAAA